TAAGACTAGAAAACTAGAAAGCTCAGAAAAGAGACTTGAAAAAGAAATTTTTAATGAAACTAGCAATTAAAACCCATGTTTCGCATTGCTCCTGGATCTCAATCTCCCGGCTGGTGTGCTGCAACTTCAGAGATGTGCTCTGCCAGCTCAGCTTCGGAGGCTCTCGGTTAACGGATTGTAGAATATTTCAAAGTACCTTTAAAGGGGTGGGTTGGTTGGTTGGTTGGTTGGTTGGTTTTCTATCATCTGAATACTCCAGAAGGCAGTTTCTGAATTCTGATATGTATTTTCAGCTTTTTCGCACTTCCACTTCAGCCTTCCACGTTTACGATCACCTGTTCACACTCACCGACCCTCAGAGCAGAGTGGCGGGAAACCCACGCGGGCAAGCTGATCTGATTGTGAATAGGCCAGGCTCTGAGATTTTTTCAGACTGTCATTTAGACGACAAACTGGAAACTGTCATTACTTTTCCTTAACAGAGAGGACAAGAATCCCTGCTTTACTCATAATGACACAGAATCACCACTGAGAAATTACTCCCTCTGGGAGTGGCAAAGCAGAATTTATCCGTGCCTCTTTCTTTGCCTGGACCCTCGACTCTTCCTGACTTGCATGTTCCTTTCCCTGAATACAACGCAGCCGCACACAGATGCAAACAAGCCCTTCGAGAATTCCAATGGCATCAGTAAAGACGGTTAAGACAATGTCCCTTCTATGTTCTCTACAGCAGAAGGCATCGCTGTTGGGGGAAAATTTCTAACAGGCTAGGATCTCCCCTCCTAATCTTTCAAATTTGGAAATCGTAAAGAATAAATTTAAGCGTAATACGAATGGAAAAACACGACCAGATAGTCAAAATGAGTGTTGCTGGCACTAACAATCTAATGGGGTGATGTTATAAAGAAGAAGAATTTTTTTATATCTATGTTTATTTGTCCCTGTCCTTACCCAGAAAGGAAAATTTATAAATATGAGTAAAATTAGGATTATAAAGAAATTGATGAATAAGAGTTCACAATAGAGTTTAAGCCTTTATATATGCTAAATTATTACACAGACACTATTTTCTTGAGTGTTTTCAGCTTTTTTATTATCATTAGATACTGATTTTGCTTGAATTACTTTAATAACCACTAGCTGGAAATACTTCAAAACATAAGTAGGCTCTAAAAGCTTTTCTGCATTTGCAAAAACTGTAACTACAGACAAGCCATAGCTACATTGTGTAGCCCCTGCATCTTCAGACAGACCTGAGCATTCAGGTGCTCTTTGAATTAAGGCTAAATTTTCACCATTGGTAGAAAGCAGAAATTTGAGTCAATTAACTACTATGCCTTACAGAAAACCAACAAGCAGCTTCAGTCATCTTTCCCCTCAATATAGAATGGGTTGACTGTATTGAGCTGTTTTGTGTTTTTCCCTCCTGAGATGTCACTTCCTTGAAGAATTTCTACCAACATACAACCAATCCTTTCAAAGACAAGCATTCCCCCTCAAAATAAATTTTAATCTTTTTCTAAACCGAAACATCTGAAGGTGGAAAAAGCAATTTTTCTAAGCAGAAACATATTTCCCCGTGTCCCCAAGAAGACTCTACAGTCTAATCAGATTTAGTCCAAATGCCACTTAATGACTACATGTTCCAACCCAGATAACAAGACATGCTGCTAACTTACCATGTGGTGACAAATGCCTCTTTATTCAAGTGTCCCCTCACTGGTGGTATTATTAGCAATGAAGAGAGTGACTTAGAGGCAGACTTTTTCAAAGGCTAAAGCAGAGCAGGGTAGATTTTCATCTGTTTTTCCCATGATCTGTAAAGTATTTCACTTAGATTATCATGATTTCCTAAAACTAAATAACATGTTTATTACAGAGATTTTCTAAGTAGACGCCTAATGAATTTTCTTCACTCCACGAATATATTTAAATGATTCTAAAAGCTAAGCACAAAAATGGGTTGAAAGAGATTGTGAATAAACTATACACTGCAGGAGGCAGCCCCAAGGCCCACCTGGCACAACACACTGCTCGCCAAATATCTGCTGAAACATGAATGACAAATTTGCCTTCAAGTTCATAATTCTTTAAGTGCCAGGCACCATTCTAGGCTCTGCTGCTACGGCAGAAAGCAGAAAAAACCTGTGCCCTGGGGACACTTACATTTTAGCGGGGGCAAGATGAGGTGAGGGAGACAACTAAAACTATATACAGTATAATTTAATGTGAGAAGCAGATGCTCTAAAGAAAAAGTAAGAGCAGTGTAACAAGGGAGAGAGAACTTTTCCAGATTAGGTGGCTTTACATTTGGAAGATCTTTCAGATGAGATTGAGATGTAAATGAAGTGAGGGAGCAAGTCTTGCAAACATTTTGGATGAAAGTGTTCTAAACAGAACTAATGTGTAGGCAACTGACAAATAACAATGTGCAACCAGTATGATGAGGTATGTGGCCAGGTTTGCTACCTGTCTACCAAGACTCCATTTCTTCTTCCTGGGCACCCAGTGAGACCACATGTCTCAACGACCCTTGCAGTTCGGGGTGGCCTTGTGACTTGTCTTTGCCAACAGAATGTGAGAAAAGTGGTATGTGTCACTTCTGAGGCCAGGCTTTCAGAAGCAGCGTATGGACTCCATGCTCTTCCTCCCCTTCCACACAGAGTAGGGCACAATGGGGTCAGCAGAGCCACATGAAGGGACTGGGTCCCTGCAGCCCTAAATGGAGAACAGCCATCACTGACCGAGCATGCAACAAGGCACGAACAAAATGCTTTCGCCCGTTAGACTGAGATCCTCGAGGACAAGGATCAGGTCTCTTCCATCTTCATACTCCTAGAACCTGGCACAACCCCTGGCAAGTGGCTGGAACTCAGTATTAATTGAATAAATGCTACTGAAATAGTGAAAAAGCAATTAGTTCTGTTAAAAGGTAATTAAGAATTAGCAAGGGTTCAAATTAAGGACTTTTTAAGAACAGAGTAAGTGGCTTATATGGGACGATGGGGTGTCAGGGTGGATTCTTGGCAGAGGAAAGAATACAAACAAGAGAGGAAAAAGCACACGATACATTTGGGGGCGGGGGGGAGTGGGGAGGAGACACCTCTACACATACGACCCGCCTTTACACAGTTAACAATCCTCCTCTGGCCTTCCAGAATTACAAGACTAGACTAAATATCATTTCAGAGCATTTTCAAATGGCTTTTCCAAAAGCAGAAACAAACATGACTAATAGAACACCTGTAACGGCAGAGAGAGCTGCTGAGCTTCTACAGAAAGAGGCACTGCGTCAAATCAGTAGTTCCGAAATAAGGGTGATTCTGCTTCACTCCTAAGGGACATTTGACATTATCCAGAAGTATTTTTGGTTGTCACAACAGGGGGAAGAGAGAGGGAAGGGCTCCACTGTCATCTAATGGGTAGAGGCCAGGGATGCTGCTAAACATTCCACAATGCACAGGACAGTCCCTACCACAAAGAACTAGCTGGCTCAAATATCACTGGTGTCAAAGTTGAAAAAACATGTGTTAAACTATAAGCTTCTTGGAGCCTGGGACCAATAAGTATTCCTTGACACTGAAAGGAACCAACGTTTTGTCACTCTGAAGCTGCCTTTTTTGAGATATTGATTTTAAGCTATTTATTAAGAAACAAAAGACTCAGGAAGAACCTTTGACCTTCCTCTGCTTTCCTGCCCAAGATTCAGACAGAAAAACCTGCTTCAAGGAGGTCTTAGGATGTTCCCCACAGCCTAATATGAATTAAGTATGGTAAATAAGAATGTTCCAGGCAGGGGCCTGTTAGCTAGATACACGCATCTCAGTGTTTGAGTTGCCCACGAAGAGTTTGCCTGCCATGTGTGTTCCACTCTTCCTCCGTTCTTCCTTTGTCCAAAATGTTATAAATACCCAATGTTGCCTCACTGTCTTTGGAATTTTTATGTTTATGTGTATTTCCCATGTGAATGTATTAAAAATTTGATTTTCTTCTGCTAATCTGTCTATTAGATTATTAGCCCAGCTAAAACCTAGAAGGAGGGAAAGTACTTTTTTTAGCCTCAACCCAAAGCGGATGCTCAAAAATGTTTGATAAGACAAAATTAAATGGTAGGCAGTTATTGCACTATATTGAAGGAATGGGCAACAATTTCACTTATTTTTTTTTCCTTCCTGCTATCACTGCTTTTCTTCTACGCTCCCAATTCAAATTACAAAAGAAGACAATAAAAAGTATTAGCTACCTAAATGATATATACAGTTTAAGTGCTTTTTGATAAAGCAAATTCTATAATTTCTATCAAATTCTTGTCGAATATACATTTCTGCCCAAAATAAATCTCTGAAAATATATCTTCCTATGTAAAATTCCATTATTTTCCAAGAGTCACATAATTATGAAAATAACGGTCTACTATAAAATACAGATAAAAATGCTTCTTGATCCTTGTTTTACATATTGAGAAATGCAATTCTGGCAGTTTAGATTAATAAAAAAATAATGAAATAAAAGTGAGAGCTAATTACAGGTGATCTAAGTTAATCTCACTGGGTCCTTTTATCCCATTACTAATGACTGTTTCCCAGACCTGACCTCAGTAGCCATTCGTTTTCTCAAAATTTAAATGAGAGTAAATAATGTTCACACGTTTTGTAACATGACATCTGATTTAACTTCCGCAGTCTGCTTAGGTCCTGACATTAAAACCAACTGTGTTCCTAGGTTTTAAGGTTCTACATTAATTTCCACTGTAACTAAATGAAAAAAAAGAACAAAAGCTTTTTCTTTTAAAAACCCTAAACAATCATGTTGCTGCTCTTACTGGAAAGGGAGCCAGGATATCATTCCCAAACCAGCACCCCCAAGGAACGGAAGCCTTTTCGTCCCCCAGCATCAAGACAATGTCTCCCTTAAGCGTCAGATGCCCTGGGAGTGCTACACCCGCTGAATGGATTTTCATGGAACATAAATCACTTTCCCACTACCTGCCACTTACAAACCTGCTTCTCATGAACCTTGGACCCTGCACAATATGGCTTGTCATGTCTTTTGTGACAGCTAGGAACAAGGAGGCCGTTGGCATGAGTAGATAAAGGGCATTTTTCCTTCTGACACTTGGGGTTTTTCTTCCTCCTTGTAAAGTGAAAAAAAATTTCTTTATTAAAAACAACAAAAACATCCAATTCCCACATGCCAATTAAATTTCCAAACTTATATACTTGCATGTTTCACATAACTATCGGGCATTTTAATAGGCTTTTAGAAACATATTTATCCAATCATTTCTTAATATATTTTCCATGCGGATCAAATCTCCTGCTATTTAGGGGATCTTAAAGGACCGAGGATACAGACACAGTAGACCTCACATTTACTGGTTAAAAAAATTTTCCCTTTATGGATTTCCTAAATTGATTTTATCTTTTTGAAATGGAATTGACAAGAACTAAAGATACTGTTGTCTATGTGACATCATTCATATCCATCTAAGTCCACTGCTCTGTATTAAATCCAGCCTGCTTTAAAGAAGGAAAGGTACATATACTTCCTTCAGACGCTGAAGTTGCCTGCTTTTTTGTAGCCCTTATCACAAGAAGCTGAGGACCCTAGGAGCTTTTTGAAAGTCACACAAATACCTCTGCCGAATAAATCACAGCTGCCAACGGTCAGCCTGGGCCCCTGTGTTCTCCCCTTTTCCACTGACCCGCAGCACACACCTCACCTGCGTGCCCGACTCAGAGATAAGCAGATGCTGCCTCAGTGAAGTGGTCGAATTACAAAAACACTTCTCCATACGCCAAAGGCTCTCCAGGCATGAAATCACAAAGCAATTCAACACAAGCTGGATAAAAAGCCAAGAGCACAGAGCAGTTTAGAAGCCGAAAGGAAACACAGGGAAAGTCCTCTGGCTTTAGTGAGGAAGAAATAGGCAGAGAGCATCTTAGGTACATTTGGATGGGAAATGAGAGGATGTGGGGGCAGCGGCTGTCCGCTGGGCCTGTTTCAGGGCAGTGGTAAAACAGCGTCCCTTACTCTGGCTCCTGAGATTACGAGCGCTCATCATCTGTGCTAACAACTCCAAACTCTTTCTAGGGTTGGGAGAAGTGATGCATAACTGAAGCAGAACAAGAGTTATGCATGCTGATTGTGCTAAAAAACAAAGCAAAAACCCAGCATTTTTCTGAAAGTGGCTGGAAATCAGTCTTTGACTTAGCATGTAAAAACCTTGGGGGGAAAAAAGCATCAGCCTAAACAAGTCTCACAGGAAAAACACATCTATTAAAGAAAAGACCTTTGGGTCAGAAAAAGATAGCAACAGAAATATATGCTGATAACGTGGAGAATAATGCCAGAGGCGAGAGCCAGAACATGTGATTCCGATGTCAGGCCAGAGCCCAGCTGGAGCAGCCACGGGAAAGAAAGGTACCATACAGAGGAGAAGCCGAGGGCCAGCGCCGAGTGAAGTGGGTGACAAATTGGTGCTGAGGCACCACAAGCGACAGGCTTGTTTTCTCCGGCCCGAGGATGTAAGCTGTAAGAGGCTTTTACTCTGAAAGCCTGGATGCTGGGGAGGCAGGCAAGCGGCCTATATATACAGCTGAGCTTTACTCTGAGGTAGCAGGAGGCTGTCACTGCCAGCACAGCACAAAAAAACATATGCAAACAGAGATGCTGGCCTCTGGGACAGGTGGGTGCATGGTCCCGGGCAGAAACAGAGCACGTAGGACAAGAGCTTCCAAGTCCAACACAACACACCCTCCCGGGCCAACAAACGTGCCTTGGCCTGCAGAGGACGAATCGAACACTGTAGTCGATTGTTGCAGAAACAGCTGTGCTGCAGCCTACACAGCCAAGTGCAAAATGCCAGCACGATGTCTTCAAGAGGGTGCAGGCTCCTGAGCAGAGCAGACATAAAGCTGCCCTCGGGGTCCTGTTGGCCAGTTCTTGCGAAGGGGCACTCAGTAATGACTGTATAGTTGGCTTAAGTCTCCTCCTCTCGCCCTCCAGATGAAAGTCCGTAAATTAGAACTGACCGGGGGCTTGGTAACCTGCTAGGCCTGGGAGGATGCAGACGGATGAAATACTCTCCCTGCCCTCAGAGGACGTACACTCATCTAGGCCAGATGGTTTCTTCCAAACTGTGGGTAGTCTTTGATAGTGGGTAGTCAAAATCAATTACATGAGTCAAAATCAGCACTGTTCTTAACACACACACACACACACAGATAACGTTCTTGTGGAACTTCTGATTCAAACGTGTGTGTTCACCACCACTAAGTCAAAGTCATGACGTTAAAATATATTCTTTATTGTGGCCCAAATGAAAAATAAGTTTGAAAGTAGCTGATCTACTGAGGAAGATAGGAACAGCCATTTACAAAGAACTTTTACACACACATTTTATGGAACCATCCAGAAACCCCATGAGGCAACTGTTATTATTAGGCCTCAGAGAGGTTAACTGACTTGTTTAAAGCAGCAGAGCAGAGCCTGGATGTAATCCCAGATGGGTCTGACTCCAGGACCTCCTCAAATGCCACAGGAGTTCAGGGATAACGGTGAGCAAAGAGGGCTGGAGAGGAGAGAGTACAATCTGACAGAAGCTTGGGAAGGTGGGTAGCTCTTGGCTGGAACAGAGGGGCAGAAATGAAGAAAGGAGCTGGGCTAGTTTGGGAGTGAGTCAGAAGTCCAGCCTCATGAAGCAGAGGGCACTGAAGTTCAGAGCAGATTAAATGAGTTGGACAACTCAGGCCGCCCCTATCAGTCCTGAGACCTTGGAACAAAAACTAACCTCTTTGAGGTTTACTTTTCCCATCTGTAAAATGGGGATAAAAATAGTACCAACTTCAATGAATAAGTGAAGTAATTATGTAAAGTGCTTCTGTTCAATATACGATAGCTTAAAAAAAAAAAAAAAAAAAGCCGCCTCACCCACGCAGGATCTTGTACCAATAAATAAACAAACATATATCATGGTATTTGGCCCTGACGATAATCCTATGAGACAGACAAGGCAAATTTTTAGACCTTGGGAAACTCCAGCAGAGACACAGAATGACAAGCTGGGATTTCTGTTCTAGGCCACTTACTCAACTGGGAGAAAAGCAGAAAATAAGGCTGATGGCTCAAGGAGGCTGACAGAGGACCTCAAAGCTAGGCAGAAAAATTAAGAGTTGGGGAGTATAAAAGGTTTTTGAGAGAAAGCTATGGGGGGACAGGGTACAGGGAAGGGAAGGTGGTGTTAGATAATAGTAAAGCTCTGAAATTAGGAAAACAATACTGCTCTCAGAGCTAAATTATAAAAGTCAAGACATGCAAAGGCATTGTAGAAAAAACAGCTCCACGACCTAGAAAATAGCATTAAATCTAGAAGTAAGAATGTCAATCAGAAGGGGCCTGGGCAGACCTGAAAGTGGAGGAATGTAGAGATTTAAAGAGCCAGCACGGCCTCGGCGCTCTGACCAACAGGGAGAGAGAGCCAGAGGCAACACCCTTAGTCCTTGGAGGGTTCAGGACCTACTGGCAAAGTCAGCCCACAGTGGAGCAGACGCAGGCAGCTAAAGCCAACTGCCTTTGGGTATTCCCACTGGCAAGCCTCCTGACCACTGAATGGATGCCTGGGACTTACCCTGATGCCGTTTGACACTTACCTTGTTTTTATTCCATACTGGCCAACGAAGCATCTGATTATGATCTGGCTTCCCACACAGGCCTGGCTACAGGAAGAGAATGTGTACCGGTTGTTCTCACATTACAATCCCAGGCCATGAAATGGAAAATAGAAACAGTTCTACTCTCACACCGTCAGTAAGCTGGCAATCTGGTATTATATATCTACTTCCTGAACTGGAATGACATGATAGAGAAATGAATTCTTGTTATGCTCATCAAATCTGTTTCTGAGCCTACAGAGCTAAGGGTCATCAGGGGACCAAGGATGTCCACTGCAATATGCTGCTCTGCAAAACTTCCTGGGAAAACCCACTGACCATCTATCTATAGGAGTGACCTAATGGAGGGATGCTGGAGGCAGCCCACTCTGCCTGCGGCAGGGCGCAGGGAGGATTGTTGGGGGAGGTGTGCAAAGGGGCCTCATGTCAGCAAGGCTGGCCTGCAAGCCACGAATGATAGGTAACCAAAAGTGTAAACTAGAATAGAGGTAATAGGAATGGCGGCGGAGGAGGAGGGAAATATAAGAGAACTTAAGGCGGCAAAATAGGTGCAAAGATAACTAAGGTTTTCAACTTCAGAGACTCAGAGTGGGTCCTGCACCTCTAAAACGCAGAGAGAAGGTTTGCTGAACCTGGATTTGGCTTGAGATGTTCATCTGAGTTGGCCTTATAGTAGCTATGTCCAATCCGATGACTGGTTAGGACCATAAAACTTCGTTATGTTGCTGGTCATTCTTTTCATTCCACAAAGATTCACTGAGTGTCTACAATATGTCAGATCCCTTCCTTCAAAGAGCTTACAGTCTAGTGCTGTTGACAGGTTAATTTACTATTTTTGTAAACATAGATGCTCTGAGGAAGGGATGCACAGAGTACAATGTGAACAACTAAATTAATGCACACCACGGACTTTTCAGCCAAAAGAGAGAAATCGTTTTTAAAGAGAAGAATCAAGGTTATTTTTTCACTTTCTTGAATTTCTGGAATTCATGGAAATGTTGATTTTAAAATCAAAAACATCAAATCATATCTAATTTTACTTTCTTTCATACCATAAGTGGTGAATAAGAAATAGGAAGAAGACTGGAAAATATAATTTTAGCTGAGAGTTTGCAGCAACATGTGTAGAAAACCTCCAATAATAAAATAAAGGTAGATGCCATCTGTGACAGATCATGAAAAGGCAAAAACCTAATATTCAGGCCAAAAACCATACCCATAAGTCACTGCCTATGTAAAGACCACACACTCATCCAGTTTCATCATCTGGCACAAGACTCCCAACTGCAATTCATAGTAACAATTTTCCATTCACTAAAAATTTAAGAGATCACAAAATCCCAGCGTTGATAAGACACATTAGAAAGCAAGACAATTCCAGGATATCATCTTGCAACCCAATGGACTTTTCCAAAGAGTAATAATGTCAAGGGTATAAATCAAAGAAAATATTCTAGAGCCACCGTAATTTGGAAATTTTGAAAAGACAGAGAATCTTCCTCAATCACCATGACAGGGTCAACAGAGGTACATAGGAAAATACAGAGCTAAAATCATTGAATGAGACATTAAAAAAAAAAAATTGCAGAAACAGATATCAAAAAGCAGAAATAGGCAGTTTAGTTAGAGCTCATACCTCCTGTATACATTTTTTCTCCCTCCTGTATACATTTTTTCTCATCCTCACCCTCCACTCCAGCCTTAGTTTAATGTTCTAGCTATATATGCAGGAGAATAAGACTGGAAGATTTGGGAACAAATATTTCCATTACACATTCTATTGAATATGCCTCAAAACTGCTTTGTCCTTGTTAGATTGCTCTTATTGACATGCATTTATTGGTTGTTCCACTGCCCAACATTGCAGAACATTATAAGAAGCTGCCCTAAAAATCTGTTATTGTATTTACTGTGAGGACTCTGCTAAAGCTCTTTCCACTTTATCACACGGTATCCATTTCACCAGGCCCTATGACTTCTCTAAGCAGTATCATGTATTTTGTAACATGAGATTGATCCTGTGTCCCTTTTTGCACTGGCTAATAGGAAGCTCAGAAAACATTTGCAGCTTATTTTCACTAAGTTTACTGCCCACTAGTGGAAAAGCATTACTTTTATCCTTTATTTTCCCTTTACACATTATAATTTACTGAAAAACAATAAAACCAAAAAAAGTAATAGTTAACATTAACAGCAAATATTTATTCGGTGCTTATTAGATATTTTAATATCACAGCCCATCCTCATACCCCCTATCTTATATTATGACGCCCTTAAACACTAAGTATTTTAATACATACTAAATTTTATAAATTTAAATTTATTAAGTTTTGCTTCTGGAAAAGTTAGGGTATGAAGAGATGGGCAGATGGAGGAGTGAGCAGATGTGTGGAAAACTAGATCAATATCTCACATTTCTTGTGAGATATTTTCAACTCAATATTTTCAACCAAATAATGGAGAAAGGGCACTAATGATGGCAAATGGCTGGAGACACACTAGGTGGGACTTGGTCCCTCATGGGCTGCAGTCTAGAGACCCCACGTGAACAGCAGCTTTAGCTATAATCTGTGATAAAGAACAAAGCAAAACAAATATTGCTCCCCTGTAGCAGAAAGACTACAAGCCACTGCAGCATCTTACTTGCACCTCTAATCTGCCTTATTTACGGGGCACATATAAATCCTGACTGCAAATTTCACCCCTTTTCAGGGTCAGAGGGGAGGAAAAGTATATGAAAAGACACAATGCAAGGTCCGAACCAGCTCAGAGCCAGGGCAGCTGATGCAAAGCAAGGGACATAAACAGGGAGAAGGGCTTGAGGAAGCACCCAGCTGTCCCCTTGGAAGTCACTCACCCTTGCCAGGTCAGTGCCCTTTCATTTCACCACTCATTTCTTCCTCTCTACTCTTTCTATCCCACCCCACACCTGTTTAAGTCCAGAACCCACCTCTCACAGAACCAGGCAAAACTAGCTCCTGTGCAATGACTGCCCTGGTGACACCTGACAACCAGTACTTTGAGAAGGTCCAAGAATTGTGGACATAATGATGAACCTCCCAAACTTCCACTATTAAGGAAGTGACAGGCCTGTGTGGGAGACAGACATGAAAGGCATTAACAATACAGTGAGCTGAACACTAGGACTGTAAGCATGGGAGCACGAGGGGGCCATCTGACCGGTGCACAAACAAGACAGAACGAAGCCTACGTTGCAGCTCAGCTGCGAAGAATAAAGGAGTTTTAATTAATCGATTAATTATATCTGCAAATATCAAAATGCTGCTGTGTGCCAGCACTATTCCATCGGCCAAGATCACATGAGAGACCCCTGCTCTCATGAACCTTGTTTTTGGGGAAGGAGAGGCAAAATTTAAGAAAAAAAAATAATCAGGTGATTGAAAAGTGTGGTGAAGGACACTGAAAGTCAGGGAGAGAGAATGCCAGGAAGGGGAGCAATCTTACAAAGCTGAGATGGGTGAAAAGGAACCATGAACCCTCTTAAAAACAATAAACAAAACCAAGAAAGGAACGTGTCCTCCAGGTGGAGGGGAGAGTGTGAAAGCTCTGAGGTGGAAGCCTGGCTGGCATGTCCATCTCACCGTCTTACTTATGTTCCAGACATCATGTTTTCAGAGGACAACGAAGACTTCAGAAAGAGCTTCATTCAAGGGGGTTAAAAGAGAAATGCTGATGTTTAATGGGGAACACCCTCAGCTCTGCAGAAAGTTAGCTGTCCGAAATAATGCCCTCATAGCATAAGCTGCCTCTTTTAATTTCTTCTCTTTTTTCTTTTAGCCACTAAAATGAATATGGAGATGAAAAGTTATAAATAGACTTCTCTCAGGCAGCACCTTTTCCCCATTCACCTGGAACGTGTTTACCTAGTGTGACAATAAACAGTCCAGATTGTCTAACTTCTGTGAAAGAGCCATGTCACAATCACAGTGATTTGTTTAAAGAATCTTGCCCACTGCATAATTAGCCTACAGGTCACCATCTGTCTCTAAGTCATAAAACTAACCATATGTTGTTTTCAACGACTGCTGAACTAAAGTAACATACTCTTCTCCCCCAGAGAAAAATGCTACAAATCCATTTTCCTCCGGTAGAGGGGCTGTACACTTGCCTCTCCATTATCACCACATTTTTTATTTTAAAAATTTTAATTTTGTTCTGTTCACGCTTTGTCCATGACTACCAACCCAAACAACCGTTACAATTTCTAGAGATTTCTGCAAAGTCTCTCCCAGGTGACACTGGGTAGACAGGCTTACAGCCCCAGAATTTTCGTTCTCTTCTGTGGTTAAACCTGGTGACAGGAAGAGAAATGCACATAAGCAAAGGTATCTTATAAAGGAGTCTTCCTGCCTAATGCCTACTGCATTCTAAAACTCCAGGGCATCAAATTTCAACTTTTCAATCACAGTAACTCTTCTCTAAAGTGGCCAACAACTACCAATGAATTAAAATCATTTGAAACAAAAACTGTTATCTGATGCTATTTGGATTTATGAAGGCAAGAATTCTCAAACTGTTGAATCCAGTTCTTTCTCCTCGTATCACCCACCAACGACTAAACAATCTTAATAAGAAGCAGCGGTACAAAATGTTCTGGATTTTAATTTGGTTTAGTTGCTTTTTAAGCAAAATATGAATACAAATTATCCCAAAAATGTGCCTACGGTTTAAAATTACATGGCAGGGAACACTCTAGCATTTAGATAACTCAAGGTTAGACTCTCATGGTAGAAGTGGGTCATTAATACTGCTAAGATCCAGAGAAACCCGTCCTCCATCAACCAACTTCCTTGGATCTACAGAGTCAAACATAAATTATATTTACGAAACTGGCCACAATTTCGTCATTAAAAAAAAAAAAAAGCCAAGAGTTTCCTACAAGGCTAATGATTCCACTTGGCCTGGGAAAGTACTTTCTAAACTGAATAGTGCAGAGAGAGACTAACTCTGTAGATCTCTTCTTGACTCAATTCTTAAGTTAACCCTTCTCATCAAAATAATGGACC